TAAGTATTAACTAATAGTTCTGATTTTGACCAATTAACTTGGATATCATTGAAGTTAAAAAAACTATTAGCAATTGAATTGATGTATGATAAGTTCTTTCTGGATTTAGCTACCCATAAAGTGTCATCCATATATGTTAAAGCAGGAATTTTACATTGGCAAGATATGGTTTGAGTGAAATAGATGTCAGAATGCTATTATACATTCATATTGTAACTATAAGGTGAATTATTAATTCTATACAGAAGCGGATCATAATAAATGCATCACAAAAGTGGTGAAATTACTTCTCCTTGATCAATCCTTGAGTGAACTAAATATAAAGTTCTGAACGGTTCAGATTAATCTGAAAATTTTCAGTTCAGATCAACTTCGGTTCAGTTTCGGATTGCAAAAAATTCAATCTGAAAATTTTCAGTTCAGTTCAGATTTTTTTCGGATTATAAATCTAATCTAAACTAAAAAAATCTGAACTGAACTGAAAATTTCAGATTAATCCGAAATTTCAGATCATTTGAAACGATTAAATTTATCATTCTTTTAGAACGATTGAAGTTATCGTTCCAAACGAATGATAAGAAAATCGTTCGATTGAAATGATTAAATTATCATTCCAAAAGAACGATAAAAAAATCATTTGAGTAGAACGATAAAATTATCGTTCCAAATGATCTGAAATTTTCAGTACAGTTTGGATTTTTCCAGTTTACGATTCAGTTCAGTTTTGGATTGGCATTTTTAAGATTTATAATCTGAACCGAACTGAACTGAAATTTTCAGTTCAATTTCAAATTAGCCTATAATCTGGACTGAACTGAACTATTCAGAGCATTAACTAAATACGTATCAGTGTATTCATGTGCTGTGAAAACTTGATTAGAATGAAGTATAAAAATCCTTATAATGATTTTGATAAATAAGTATGGGATTTTAAAACGTTCAAGGGTTTTGACTAATGTAAAGACATTAACACGATCATAAGCTTTAGACATATCTTGAAGGAGCATCCAAAGTTCTTAGTTGTTAAATAAGATATCTTGTTTAACATGATTAATTATACGAATGGGATCAAATGTCAATTTGAAAAGAAACTCAGCAAAGTTGAATCCTTTTAGTATATTATATCTAATAAAAAGAGGAGCTAATCAGGCATTCAGAAGTTTTGTAAAAGCTTTTCTTAGGCATTCTAGCAATGTTATAGGTCTAGTGTTGATTAGATCAAATTATCATAGTTTTAGTTTTAGAATCAAATATACATAGGCCATGTTCTATCTTAATAGAATCAAGAATATCTGAAGACATCTATAAATAATATATCAAATTCTTTTTTACTTATAGGGTCAAAATGTTTGAGCATTTCATTAGATATCTTTAAGGGATCAGAAGCCTTATTATTCAGGAGTTGATCAATAACTTTATACTATTCGTCCGCTGTCAGCATTAAAGTAAGATAATTGTAAATTGATAAATCAATTTCAGGTATAAGTTGATAGGTTGTTGTCTATTATTCTGGGATTGACTTATCTTTGTAAGTTATACCAGTTACCTGCTGAAAGTATCAGGCAACTTCTCTTCAAACGTCTGTTTCATCTGTGAGTAAATTAAGTGAGGAACTTGTATTATCAAGACACCTATCTAAGATGATGGGTTTTCTTTTTCTATTTAAGACAGAGTCTATCATCTTTTTCAGATCAGATTTATAATCGTCAATTCTGTTTTGTAGAGCTTATTGTATACTTAAAAGTTTAAATTCATGTTCTTTAAGTTTAGCCTTCATTTGTAAACAAGCTATTAATATTTATGTGTCAATTAGTATTGATTTAATATAAACATTGTTAAGAAAGGGTCCTATTGAGATAATACATAGAGAACAATCTTGAGCAATTTTAAGAAATTTTTCATGAAGGTTAAACCATTTGAGAGAGATAAGGTTATTTTTAAAACATTTTTATGAGAATTTGGAAAATTTCTGTAGTATTTTGATGTTATTATATAAATTAGACAGGGCAATTAGTTATTTGGATAGTTGACGAACTTTAGATTTGCTGACAGGAATAGATTTATTTACAGACGAGATTAATGTATCTTAAAACAAATTCTAATATTTGTTCGAAGTGAATTAAGACCAAATTGTAATGGTAGAAACATTTTTAAGAGCATAACTGTTTATGGCGTGATTTAATTTGTTTCTAAATTGTGTCTATTTCTTTGAGTCTATCTTGTTAAAATTAAAAAAAGATTTAGTAAGACAATTATGACTGTTAGAATTAATTTGTAAAAAGTTAGAACATTTAATGGTGACGACATAATGATCAGAAATTTGTATATCAATAGGTAGTACATCAGCATCAAGTATATTAAGCACCAATTCAGATGTCATTCAAATATAATCAATTTTTAACAATGATTGATTATGATGAAAAGTGGTAAAATATAATCAATTGGTATTGTATAGAACAGCAAAGAAATCGAAAAGGTTATAATGATTCAATGAATTAATAAACGAAATAATTTAGGGTGAATTATTTTTTGTACAGTCTATATCTGCATTAAAGTCTTCAAGAAGAATAATGTGATAATTATTTTTAATTGCATCATCAAGAAGGTGTTTAACGTATGTTAAGACTTGCTTAGTAATTTTTTCTTTAGATTTTCCTAAGAGAACATATACGTTAATAACAATAAGTTTTTATTTGTCAGAAAATTGTAATTTTACATAAATAACTCTATCGAGTTTAGATTCATGTTGAAAAATGTATTTGGAGAATTGAGGACTAAAAGATAGGCTGTCTCCAAATCCACAAGACTGACTATCACAGTTTTTACTAAAAATTATTAGAAAATTTGGGAATAATCAATTAAAAGTTGAAGCATTATTATGTTTAAAATTAGTTTCTTGTAGAGCCAGTATATCATAATGATGATTTCATAAATTGAAAAAAAGATGTTTTATTTGGTAGGCTCTATAGATGCCTGTCAAAACCTTCTCAAAATAATTTCGTCATACCCTTTTCTATGTTTTTAATATAATTTCAGCTTTCGTCATATCGAATGGGTTTTGTCGTATCCCTTATTATGATTTTAATATAGTTTTGTCTAAGTTTTGACTGTTATTAAGGGTTTCGTCCTCATCTATAGTAGGCTCATTAAGTCCTCTAATGTTATGTGAGACTATGAAAAATTTTTTTGTTTTAATAGGGTTGGAAATATCATTAGGTTCTGTTAAAATATCAGTAAGAATAGTATTTATAATATAGTTATATTTATTGTGAAAAGCTGCTGATGTAGCATTCTGTCATTTTGTTAAAATCTTCATTCAAGGGGTCAAAAACTTGTATGTCATATTGGCTGATAAGATTTTTGTTAATGAGCATAGTTTGGAAGTCTTGACAAGTTTTAAGTAGCTTATTAATTATTAGAGTGAATTCAGAAATTCGCTGTTGTTGTTTTTAGCAAATAGCGATGAATTGTTCATTGGTTTTTGTCTGCAAGTGAGTAGTATAGAATTATATGTCAATAAACAGAGATTTCATATCTACTTCAGTAGTAGTATCTAGAAGTGTATTGTTAAATAATTCAGCTTCTTGAGGGGTTGTAACTTTAATATTCAGTGCCTTTTCAACCACTTCGAGGCGAGATTGCGAAAATTTAAAAGCAGAACAAAGGTCATCAAGGGTATTAGCGATAGATTCAAGTTAAAGTATGACAAATTTCTTAAAATCAGGGTTATGAATTAATCCACCTACTACTGTTCCATTTTTAATATTTGGAGTAGGATACACTGTATTGTCAAAAATAGTATCATTATCTATTGGCTCATCCTCCTACCTTAAGACAGGTGGTTTTTAGTAACTTTACTTGGAGTGGCACTAGCTTTTTTGGTAGAGAAGAAGAGGGAGGGGTTGTTTATTTTGAGTTTGCGATCATCTAACTTTAGAGCTCGAAGGATTAACAACGTTAGCAAATGTAATGTTATTTTTAATAGCATCACAAGGTTTCTTAGATGCAGTATATCCATTAAATTGGGCTGGTTGAAATCTTTAGTATAGGTATTAAGTGGTTTTGTCTTTTGGAGTATTTCATTTTCTGGGATATGAAGACATATTATGATGTGTCGACGAACAAATGGCATATAGTTTAGTTTTTGCGTCAGTCCATTTGAGTTTTTTGTTGTTAAGTGTAAGTTTATTTGTCACAATTGCGGCATCAACTTCGTCAGCATTGCGAAATAGAAGTACGCATGTTGCAAATAATTATAGTTTGATTTTGCTTGCAGAACAATTTAAACGGTAGTATTAACCATCTTACCAATGTCAAGGAGGTTACGTGCTGTGATATCTCGTGAAAGATTAGTTAGTTTTTTTGAGAATTTAGAATGATTTTGGATTTCTTTTCTGTTCTGGTCACACATATGAATATGAACAGAATCGTTGATGATAAGTAATCCATCAGTCGCTTGAAGAAGATCAAATTTAGCTTTTTTGTCAAAGGTGATGGTAGCGCGTTGCTACAAGTTTCTAATTTCTATGATGCAACGTATGATATTTCCGTAACGGGAAAAAAATTTTTAATTCATGTAACTGTAAAATCCAATGGGATCTCAGTTACTGTGATTGACTGTGTAGGTACAAAAGGGTGCAATTTTTGTACAACTAGGGGTAAAAACGTGGCTTTGTCCGTATTAGAAATCTGCACTTTACAAAGATTATCATGTTCGTTGGAGTCTAAAAAGGCAACCTTGAGAATGTTAATTGAAGGATCAGCAGGAAGTTTTTTACATGTGACTCCAGTAAAGGAAGCATAGTTGAAACAATATTTGTCAGTGATTTCAGCGATCTTCTGTTGGGGGTTAGCTCCAGGGTATTTTTCAAGCGGAAAATACACAAAAAATTTTTCAGCACCGAGGAGTGGCGCAGCAAAAGCTACTGAGGCAGTGTCAATAGTATTTTCAGACGCGTCAGAAGGACCGTCGACGTTCATTTCATCTTTTTTGTTGTTGGTTATGGTTTAGTTTTCCCTTTATCAAGGGGCAAAGGTGTAGTGTCGGATGTTTGGTCAACTTCCATAGTGACAACAGGAGGTTGTGTAATATTAGAACTTTCAGCGGCGGCTTCTTGTTCAGTTGTTTGAGTGGTGTTCTGTCTTTTTTGTGGTGGTAGTTTTTCTTTAACTGGCGACGCAGGGCGACCACGGTTGTTAGATTTTTGATTTTTTTTGGGCATTTTTACAAATTATATGGATCAAATTTTTGTGAAATTATGTGGAAATTTTGTGATTATCACAAAATTTTGTGGCATTTGTGATATTTTGCGAAACGCCATAAATCATCGTCCCTGAAGGGGGGGTCAAAAAAATTCTGAAAATCGAAAATTACGTCCCCTTCGTGTTGTTTGTTCCAAAAAAAAAAAAAAAAAAAACGCGTAAGTTCCGAAAAAGATACGAATAAACAGAAATAAACAGAGAAAACTCAACCGTAGAACTCCTATTATCACCCAAAAGATGTAATGTCGAAGTTATGAAGAAACAGAGCGGCAACGTTTTCATCAAAAAAAAATAAATGAGGACGAAGACTCAAGAAGATGAAATATGCTACGCATCAAAGTAGTTGGGACGTTAGGAAGAAATTAGAGAAGAAATTAGGGAGAATATTAGAGAGGACATAAGGGAGGATATATTGATGGGAAATACAACGACGGCCGCCCGGCGTCATAAAAAAAGAATTTTGTGACTTGGCCGAATTTTTTTTGTTTACTTGTTTAATTAAAATAATTAGTTTCGATGTTCAAAAAATAACAAGGAACAATTCTCCTTCAAAAAGTTGGTAAAGACAGTATGGGCAACCTAAAACACAAGATGAAGTCATTATCGTTAACTAGATTAGTCTGGGACGGTGCAATGTTTGCTTAGACTTGGTGTAAATTTTCTTTACTTTTTAATAGCGAAGCTACCGCATGTTAAAAAAAAAAAAAAAAGATATTTTATAGAATTGATATTATATTATTGGCGAATTTCCGATGATCCCATGAAAAACTTTTACAAATTATTTTATTCCAACGTATTATATTATATAACAATAAAATTTTATGATTAATAAATAAATAATTAAATTAATTAGTAATTTTATGATTTTGGTGCAGTTTTCATAATGTCGAAAGCTTTCGTTGCAATTGTATCATCTTTCATTTGCATCATATAAATGATAGGAGTAGGAGCACCTACATTATTAATTTTAAAGGTAACACTAGATTTGCCTACTCTTCCGACGCCTGTGTCTTCGATAAAACTATCAACTAGTTTAGAATTCTTCCCTGATAGAATAGTAATTCGTTTGCGATGTGAAGGGGTTTCCAATGACAGGATCATATTTCCCCAACCCAAATTTGTCCAAATTCCATGATCACTTTGTAAAAATAATTTAACCCTTGAATCCATAACATCTGTCATCGTTTGTTCAATTTCTTTCATTGGTTGAATCGGTCGATTATTTTGTAATGATGATGATCGAGATATAAGCCCTGGTATGGGCAGAGTATTATTTGGTCCAAAATTCTTCATTCTTAAAAAGTCCGAAAATAATTTATCCGAGTCAATCGAATTTTGTAATGTCATCCTATAAAACTCTTTGACCATTCCCATTTCACATGCTACACTTATTGAACATGGAGATTCCCTGTGTAAAGAAGTTGTGGGATGTATCCATGCATTAAGAACCATACGCCCACTTGATTTTAATAGAACAGCCCAACATGGAATATTTGAACTTGTCATCTTTATTTCTACAATACATTTGTCATTTTTAGTTAAAGGAATCCATTCTCCGTCAAACCAACGATTTACCTCACATGGAGGTGTTTGATGGATCGTTTCTGTAAATGACCCAATACTGGAAACTGAGGACAATGACGTCATTGAATTAGATCGACTAAGTTTAGGTGATTTCAATCTCTCTTGATTTTCTCCTGCCCGGGAATTATCTCTAGAATTTGGTGCGCTGATATTGTTATCTTGAGGAGATGATGAACGCTGTAACGGTGCGTCATTTGACAGTGGGCTTGATGGAAGACCAAGCTTTTGTTTAGATGGTGAAAAATCTCTTAAAGGTTCTTGTACTGATAATTGGATATTAATATTCTCTTTTCTCGAAGGTGATAGGTTTACATTAACTTGAGGTCTTGTGCTTGCTATAAAAAATTGATTTATAATTAATTAATTACAATACATTAAAAATTCGATCATAATAATAATAATTTGCTTTTTTTTTTCTTGCCTGCTCTTGTTGCAAATTCGATCATTTGAGTAAATCCTTTAAGCCACATCTCCTTTTTATTTTGATTCTCCGCACGAAGAACCAAATGTTCCTTTTGCAAAACTACAAGATTCAACAAATCTATAAAAATAACAATAATAAAGTTATTTTGATTTCTTCAAACATCATGAAAAAGATTTAAAATCAACCAACATTCTTTATTGTCGTATAAATTATTAAGCATCAAATGTCTCCCGCTTAATGGTGGATATAAAAGCCTAAGCTCCTTTGAAGGATTTAATGCCCTTTCCTCTGGGGTGAATTGCTGGCAGATTAACAACAAGTCAGTCAATAAAAATAAATGAGCTTTCACATGGGCTCTGTGATCATTAGAACTATCTCCATCATGAAGTACAACTATAAAATCATCATGATGTACTATTTCCCTTTTAAATGGAAGATGAGGCGGTGTAAGTACAACATTTAACGACTAAAGAAATTATTAAAAATAAATTAAAAATCCGAATGATAAATATCGAATAGAACGTTACTAAAAAAAAAATCAAACCTTCAGTTGTTTTGTGAACAAATCAGTGACTTGTGACGTATCAAGTTGACTTTCCAACTCCGTCAAAGTCCAATTTAAAGGAATTTGTGAACTTGTTATTTCGGGAATGGTCGGACCTCCTTGCGGTGAAATAATCGTATGCAATACGGTTTGTGGGACTGGCAAAGAAATATTATTTCTCGGCCTGTTCGACTCTTTAGCTTTCTTTGCTAATTCAACTAGATCATCCATACGCTTGATTGCGGCTGCGAACTTATCATAATCAGACCATCCAGGTTCAAAACTTTTAATCGTACGCTAATTAATTGAGAAGATCATTCGAATAAGCTGTAAATATTTTAAAATATTTTATTACGAATTAAAATAAAATCAGAACACACCATATATAATTTTTTGTAATAATGAATTCTCTTGAGGGGTATTTCAAAGAAGAAGTCTAAAGACACTGGTTGATTCCTTTGTGCAGATATATTCTAAAAAAGAAGATAATAATAATATTTTAGAAATTTTTTTTTTTTTTTTAAAAAAAAAATTTAACTAAAATAATTACATTCAAGACTTGCTGTAAATTTAAATTATTATCAATCTCAGGCCATGAATCAATTCCTTGCCTATAACTCTGACAATATTCAGCATATGGTCCTTCCATTTCTTCAATCTACGGGAAAAAAAAACAAATTACAAGTTAATAAAATGAAATGAAGAAAGTAAGAAAGTTGCAAAAAGGACATCTAATTATTTAAAACTTACCCATTCCATTAAAGCATCACCAATTTGTTGTGATGATGCAACTTGCATTAATCTCTAAAACAAAATAGATATTAATTTATTATTAGGTAAAAATAAAAAAGGGATTTCTTTTTTTTTTTGAAATAACACACACCGAACAGAATTCGTTATTACGATGATAAATCTTGCTAAGAACACAAAATATGACATCCAATTCTGGTGGCGGGGGATTAGCATGATCCCAACTATTTGTGACTTGCTATGAACAAAAAGGATAAGGTAACGTTAACATATAATTAACATGATACGAAGTTTAAATGTAAATTACTTGAAGCAAGCATCGTAAATCCTCTATATATTCCTTTTCGGTCTCGATTAGATAAACGATGGGATTAGCTTTCTGTTTATCAACGTATGAATATTGATTTGAATCTTGTGAGGGCATTATCGGTGAAATAGTTGATGAGATTGGAAATGCGGTTGGACCAAATGATGTCTAATCAAATGAATTTCAAAAAAAAAAAAAACAAAAAAGTCAATAACGAATTGATGAAAAATCGAGAATTTTTGAAACGTACATTAAAATCAAAAGATTTTTGCGAACGGGACATGACAATATTTGTTATAAATGAAACTCTATATGAACGTTTTTAAGAAAATAAGAAAAAATAAAAGTCGAAGAAGAAAATTTTTTTTTTTTATAGCTGTATTCGATTGATAAATCGTCATAAGGTTGTACGGTCCTTTTTTGTTAATTTGTATCACTCAAATAAAATCAATAAAAAATCCAAATAATATTATTTGCTTGAAAAATTTAAAATAAATTTAATAGGAAAAAAAGAAGGAACGCGAACTTTTTGCCACAAAGAAAAAAAATGTTAAAATGTTAATACAATCAAAAAAAAAAAAAAAGCGGACCAAGCAAGTTTGAACAAGGTTATAAGCGATCAAGTAAATTTTGCTACTGATGAATTATTAGTTTGTCGGAATTATACCTTTATGTATTAGTTAGATCATAGCTTCTCCAATTTCATTCTTATTAAGTTGCTTGCTTGTTTAGTATTTTCTAGTCCGTGCCGTTGCCATTTAAGGGCTTGAATTACGAAAAGATTATTTTGTTATAAACGCTTTGCAGGAAATGATATACAAGATGATCGGAGTAATTCCGATAATGGACTCATTCTTGTAAACAACACAAATTTGATAAATTTGATATTATTGTCCCCATTATTAAAATTTTTTAATTGTCAACTTCTCATTAATTTCATTTCAATTTAGTTTAAAATTTCTTCAGATTCCGTAAAAAAGTTAACTTTGCAATTATCCGGAGTGTATCATCATGGATTGAGCTAAGGTGTCGGGATGATTACTAGGAAAATCGGGAAATCTTGTTCATAAAATTCGTGTAATTGGAATTAACCTAGCATTGTACATAAAATAAATTGACAAATTTAGTGACTAGCCTGTTTTTTTAGGGCCCGGTATATTTTTTGGCCGACGGAGAATGTTATTATATTGTATAATGCATAGTTCACTAATAACATTCTTATTATGTAAATATATTTTTACCCGCTATTAAAAAATGATTTAAAAACAAAAAGGCTTCAGAATATTCGCAATATAGGCTTTTTGAATACGCGAGAATAATAAATTCAAACCAAAAGTAATAATAACATCATAGCATTACACGATAAAATTAAATTTGCCAATCGCGATTAAATTGTCTAAATATAAATAATGAATAATTGTTTGGTAATCTCATGCTCAAGAGCACGTTGCAAAGATTATTTGCAGTTTGTGACGCATTATAACCTTAATTCTTTTACCGAATTTAATTTAGCCAATCACAAACGCGGTTTTGAACCAATCAGCTTATTTCGACAGACGGAAATGCAGAAGAGATAACTGGATACAAACGCCCAGAAGGACAGAACTGGGGGAAATCTTTGGGCACGGAATAGATTAGAAACCAACCAAAAGTTTGTTTGTTTTATGTGGATAAATATGAAAAATTAATTATAAATGACCTAAATCTTAAAAAGGTTAGGCGTATGAAAAGTTTGATAATATTAAATAAGTTAATTAGATTAATTAAATAAACATCTTGCTAAAGTCGTCTATACACATGATGAATAACCAATGTGATATTTTGCATTAATTTTGCTGCACTGTTCTATTCTCAATTGTGAAATTCAGGTGATTAATTTTCGTCTGGGATACCAAAATTGTTTCGTCATAAAATTTTCATAGACAGGGAATGGGCTTCCATTGAAGGTTAATCCTTATCCATATTTAATACATTATTTCGTCATATTTCGTCATATAAATTTAGCCTAGAACGTTCTCAAAACATTTGATTTTTATTTATTTTATATATTATCTGGAAATTATTACGGGTGTTTGCGATATGTATCTCACTTATGTTAATATTTTTCGTGGGGATATGGGTCTTTGTACAACGGGTCTATATGAAAAATTTTCTATTTTGGTTTAAAGAAAATAGTTGATCCAGATTTTCGTGATTTCCCAAATTTTGATTCATTAGGTAATCATTTGCGCAGTGAAATTACCCTGATTTTCGCGAATTCTTAATGTTTGACATAGTAATCGTAACTAAAAGGTCTTAAGAATTGTTTCAATCATAAGCGAATTGTTCTATATCACGTGTTTCTGTTATATTTTGAATGATCAAAGCACCGAGTGGATCGTCTAAATATTTATGTTGGTGCCCCTCGATGGAATATTATCTTTTGTCAAGATAATTTTCTATATTAGTGATAATGTATGTATAAAAAAGGGATTTTATTCAATAAATATATACATTTGTCAATTGTTGCTTAATTTTAGAAATTATAATTATATTTTTCACGAATCCGGTTGGTTCGATAAATTATAATTGGTTAAACATATTCATTTGAAGAATTACGTTTTCATGAAGGCCATTTCATGAGGCAAAAGAGATCGACTTTTCACATTGAAACAAACCAAATAAAGATAATATGGTTTCAAATCAATCCTCTGTTTTTGTGTTGATAACAAAAATTCCCTTTGAAATTTTCGAAATTCTGGAAATTCTCTGTTACTTTTATCATACCGGTTTTTTTCCCGGTGAAAATCACATAATATCTGCGATTAATTATGGGCGGATCCATCTCAGATAATCCAACGATTTATTTAACGATTTAAATTTAAACCAATTCCAGATCATCATTCCGCAGTCAGCCAAGTAAACGAAAATGTTTTAAACCAAATTCATTTAATTTGAAATAGCAATTGAGAAAAAGTATCATGGCTTAGGCGTAATCGTAGAATAACCGAACGGTAAGGCTAAGCCATTATGGGACAATTATTACCTTGTTTATCATCCCATCCTAAGGGGAATTTTTATTCTTTTAATATTTCGATTATAAATTCGGCTTTTTTTTTTTTACTTTTTTTTCCTTCACAAAATTGATGTATATAATTATATCGAGCATAAAGTATAAATAACATAATAATAATAATCATAATATTAATCATAATAATAATAATAAAGAATGCCAAATCATTTGATTACTTTATTTCTCATTCCATTATTATTCACGTTAATTTACGCAGAATACAGAACACTTAACGGTACAAATAATAATTTGAAATACCCATCGTTAGGTGTCATATCATCACCATTATCTCGATCAAACCCACCAATTTCTTTCTATACAAACATTAATGATGACAATGTGATGTCCATGATCCCAACACCAGGAAATTATTCTTCAAGGGTACCGAAGGCATTTGCAAATTGCACAGCTGCTTTACCCAAGAATGTATTTCCATTACCTAGGTGTGCAAGCAATAAGATTGGATCCATACAAGCAAGTATGGATGATGTTTACAATTTAGATCTCTTGGACAAGTACAAATCAAAACGTAAAATTTCTCACATTGTAAGTTTGAAAGCACGTATTTGGCGCAGTCCATAAGTTGGCGCAGCAAATACTGAAGGGATACCCTTCTTTTTTTTTTTTTCACCACAGTTTACTTATTGGGGATTCTTTACGAAAATGGATATATCTTCTGGAGATTATTCTGGAGTAAATTACCCAACCGGAATTTATATCCCTCAAGATGATCAAACATACTTGTCACAAAATCCTCAAAATGCAAGTCTCGTGATATATCTGGTATTTTAATTTCTCTATTTTTTTTTAGTGATTTTAATGGCATTCAATTCAATTAAAAATTTTTTAACGTAATATCCCGCATATAGCCAGCAATGCAATTTAATCGATCATCTCCGACAGCAGGTTCGGTGGGAAAAAATGTAGGCACCCCATTTTTAGACGGATCACAACTATATGGTCATGATCTTGAGAAATTATCCCGTGTACGTGATTATGGGAATCATGGAAAGATGTTGTTATATTATAGTAATCATTCAGAAGACTCACAGTTTGGATATCCACCAACAGATGAAAATGGGGAATATATTTTTGGATACACGGCTATCAAAGGAAGGAATGTATTTACCGATATGTTTCACACGGTATTCTTAAGAGAACATAATAAGAGGTGTGATTTATTATGGGAGTTACATGGAGATGATTGGGACGATGAAATATATTTCCAAGAATGTAGAAAATGGGTTATCGCTTTATTGCAACGTGTTACTTTTTATGAATATCGTGAGTATTAATTTTAATAATGATGATGATGTTAATAAATAATAAATTTGTGACCCTTTTTTGGGAAAAAAAAAAGTCGGCATTGCTTTAGGATCACCTCTACCACCATATGAAGGATATAATCCAAGTTTAGTACCTAGTATAGATACATTTTTTTCAACCGTTACGTATAGATATGGTCATTCCGAAGTCAGGTATTTAAAATTAAAATTAATTTTTAAAACTGATGTTTCTCTTACGATATTGAACCATTTTTTTTTTTTTTAAAAAAAAAAAAAAAAACACACATACATCATAGTGATTATCATAGTATTGTTGATAATAACGGACAAGTGTTGGCCACATTATCATTAAATTCACTACAGAGACCTCGCTTGCTAGAAACCTATGGCGTGCCTTCCATAGCTCTTTCATTAGCTCTTCAAAGGTAATAATATATCACCGCTTTTAATGAATCGATTACATAAAAAGTATATTTATTGATATTTATATTTAGACAAGAAGAAACCGATATATTTTTTTCGGATTTGATGAGAAACTTTACGTCACATCATCAAAATATTACAGAAAATATGGATATCTTTAGGTAACCTAAATTTTCATACATAATTAAAGAGAAACCCTCTTAAACATTATTAACATTATTCTATCTTTAATTATTAGTATTGATGTAATAAGGAACAGAGATCATGTAATACCATTATATAATGATGCCAGAGAAGCTATGGGATTAAAAAGAGCCACACAATGGTCAGACATAACAAACGATACTGTCGTACAAAGTAGATTGATTGAAACTTATTCAAATGATATTGATAAAGTTGAAGCATATCTTGGTGGACTTGCTGAGGATCATGTTAATGGTTCTAGTTTTGGTGAATTATTTTATAAAAGTTTTTATGATCAGGTATCCTATTAAAAATATAATCATTATTTTTATTATTTTACTCATGGCTAAATCTATTTTTCTTGATGGAATAGTGGATGTTGACAAGAGATTCAGACAGACTTTGGTTTGAAGAAGCTGATGCTGAACTTAGCTATCAAGAACTTTTTGAGATAAATCATACAACTCTATCACAAATAATAGCGAGGAATTCACCGAACACATATAAATTACCGGCAAATATATGGATAACACAACCATCAACATCATTAAAATCCGTAAAGCCGGCCTATACACCAGACTATATACCAAACAATGATGAAGACAACATTCTTCAAAATGATCTTTTCTATTCTTCATCAAATCATTTAACATTTTCAGATGATTATGAGATGTTTTGGGAAATAATTGGTCTTAATATTCATCTCAAGTTAATTTCGGCTAGTACGGTTGGATGGTTCGCCATTGGTTTCAGTGACCCCAACGATAGAAGCATGATCACTTCCGACATGATCATTTGTCGGAACATTAACGAATCTTATCTTGAAGTAAAACAATATAAAGCAAATGCTTATTTCACTCCTCAATTAGTTGATGATCAGAATCAATTAATTAAAAGGACAAATCAGAGGATTAGTAGTGGTATTTATACTCATGTTGAAATAGTTAGGCCATTAAACGTCAAAGGAAGTTACATGAAACCTATTACCGCCGATAGGAATTTATCACGTGACTATCTATATATTTCTTTGATTTTTTATTTATTTATTTATTTTTATAGTTTTTAATCAAAAAGTAATTAACCGATTTTAGTGATCTATGCGTGGAATCCAAATAGTAACGTTTTAACGTATCATGCAGGAAATAGGGGAGTAATACCGAACTTGAACTTCTTTTCAGATGCAACATTTATAAATAAAAGAAGACAAAATTTATTATCTCATGGAATTGGAATGTTCCTAGTATGGGGGTAAGATTTCATCTTTTTTTTTTTTAAAAAAAAAAGCAATTCATTCATTAATTATTCCCTCGTTTAAAAAGTAATATTTTTTTTTTTTTAAAAAAAAAAATATATAGAATTCTTTTTCCAAGTAATTATTATTTTTTCTTTTCTTTTCTTTTCTCTTTTCTTTTCTTTTCGAGTTATATAAACTATTGATTTTGTGTTCATGCAATCAGTTTCAATATGGAGAGTCAGATACATGAAAACGGTAGGTTCCTACATGAAATTTCACAGAAATTTACAATTGTTTGGAACGGTGATCGTTGCCATATTTGGCGGCATAGCCTTGGCCATAATGGAAACACGATTCATAAAAGGTGCTCACGGAATGTAAGCATTTCACCATCTTTCAAATGTTTTTCATTAAGCATAAAAATTTTACATTATTTTTTTTAAAAAAAAAAAAAATTTAGAATCGGAATAACAATATTTTGTATAATGGGTGTACAGATTGGAATAGGGATGTTCAATATCTGGAATCTTGTAAACGTTGAATCAGTTAATATGGGGATTATCAAATTATTCAAAATTATTCATTTGTTTTTGGGAATTGCATTAATCATTCTCGCATGGTAAGCTATCGTTAAATAATAATAATAATAATAATAATATTATTTTTTTAAAAAAAAATTTCTTTTTTTTTTCTCCTCGTAGGGTGAATATGTATATTGGAATAAAAGATTATAACAGAGAAAATTTTTGGAGTAATAATCGTTGGATTACTATTTATTTAATTTGGATAGGACTAATAGTGGCTACATTCTTTATAAGCGAAAATATATTTAGAGTGAGAAATATGAAATTTTTGTATACTATGGTTAACGAGGATACACGTGTCACCGAATTCCGATTACAACATTACATTAGAGATTATGATCAATTACCAACAATGACATTGGATGAATTTAATCAAAGAGTAATTCGTGGAATGAAGTTGGTCATAGTGGAAGGTATGATATTTGACATAAGTAAATGGATGAAATATCATCCTGGAGGGGTAAAAATCTTACAAAGAGTGATTGGAACTGATATCACAAAGGACTTCTTTTATATCACTCGTAAATACGAAGACAGTCAATCAAGTAGTAATGATGATAAAGAAGAATTTCTCACATTTAATGAAAAGGATCAACAGTTTAGCAATATTTTTAAAAGGAATAATATGAATAGAAGGGATAAGAATGAGACATTTGCAAACTTTATTGATATTATCAATGTAAATAAATTTTTTGGAAGAAAGTTAAGTAGAGTTGCCGTTCATAGTCATTCACTGTACGCGACGACCAAATTGGCCACCATGGTTGTTGCTAAGTTAATCACCAAAAAAGAGGAAATCGCTGCAAGTAATGTGCAACAAAATCTTTCCCAACAACAGCAGCAGCAGCAGCAACATCAGCAGCAACGGCAACTAAGTCATTTTGATTCATCTGATTTATCCATCTTTCATAGGTGCATAATAACAAATATTGAAATAGTGACAAATCATGATATTTACAAATATGGATCACCAATAGTTAAAAAATTTACATTAAAGCCGATTCGGAAACATGATAATTTTCCTGTTAGAAAATTCATTCCCGGAGATTATATTGAAATCATGTGTTACATCGATAATCAAATGATCATTAGAAAATATACGCCTTTATTGCAAGAATTTTCCGAAGAATATGACGAGGATGTTGATAGAAATAATTATAATTTGGATAGAAGGTTTTGGATATTAGTGAAAATTTACAAGGATGGATTCATGTCTAAATATATGGTAAATAAATAATTATATTAATACAAAAATGATCTTTATTAATATATTCTATTGCATTTTTAGGACAGACAATTAAATAATTTCGAAATATCGGTTAGAGGGCCGTTTAACGTCTCTGAAAGCATTTTCAAAAACATTCCAATGCCAATTGATCAACCCATACCTAATATTTTGTTAAATCCAAATCAACCAAATGGTTGCTGGAGTAATCTATTCATGATTTGTGGTGGTTCTGGTATAACTCCAATGTTACAATTGGTAAATATCGTGACAGATTTTACTTTTTATCACCGGGAAAATAAAATTATTTATCATATCATTTCATTTTATTTTAGATTCATTATCATTTACAGGAATATCAGAATTCATTAAAACAAAGTTACGCGCCACCAAATACTTACAAGTTACACTTATTATTTGCAAATAATACGGCTGCAGATATTATTTATCCAAAACATTTAGATAGTTTAGTTAGAAAATTTAAAGGAAATCTTACTATTGATTATATACTTTCTAATCCGCCAGATAATTGGGATTGTCTTAAAGGATACATTGATGATGTTATTTTGTTTGATTGGTTATCCTTCAAAATTAATACCGGTTCTCATCTTTCTATCGACATTCATCCTAACCTTGGTCAACAAAGTCAAGTAGAATATACTAGTGGCGTGATACCTAATCAAACAGTTTATTATCCTCGACCACAGGTTGCCGGAGATAGTTTTGATATTTATAATACTCCAGTTCTTCAACAAGATCAAGAACAACAACAATATCCTTCTAATGTTGAACAGGATCCATTAATCGAGTCTTCTGTTTCACATTCTACAGTTCTTCATCCTCCCAATATTGCTATCAATTATTTTCCTGATGAATCTAAAATTATTGTTTGTGGTAATAAGGGTTTTATGATTTCTATTCAAGATATTTGTAATAGGATTGGTATTAAGGAAGAAAATACTTTATTTTTAGTATAAACAGTTTAATAAAATGAAAATGAAAATAATCAAAAAAAAGAATTGAACATATTAGATTAAATTAAATTAAATAAATAAATGTATGTATATATATATACAGTATACAGTATAAAGTATAAATATATAACGACTATCCAAAAAAAAAAAAAAAAAGACAAATTTTTTATTTATTATGAAGATAGTAATAAAAAAGGTGTGAAGTTATATACTGTGATTTGGTGTAGAATGATTGAATAATAAATACAATGAAAGTGAAAAATACAATAAAAAAAAAACGCAGAGTAAAATTATAGAATACATCAATTTTTCTACTAAAAAGAAAAAAAATCTAGTTTATGTTGATAACGCAAGGTTTACTATAATACATTTCCATCACTCTACTTGTGTTCCATACACATAATTTTCTTGTCTTGTCATGGGTCTGGAATTGCTTCTCTTATAAGCTCGAATAACAAGAGCCGTTAATCCTGCATATAATACCGTTGAGCCAGCGACTGCAAATCCAATAATTATTCCCTTATTTGTGTTGACTGGCTCATTTATTGCATCAGCCGGTACCGGACCTAATATATTTGTTTTGTCACCGTTTTGGTTGGCTTTGAAAAATAAAAATAAAATATCAAATTAATATTAAATTATCAATTCAATTAATAAAATATCCAAATATGTTAAATTACATACCAACTAATAATGGAGATATTTTTGTGTCAATCAATTTATTTAATTCCGAACCCTCTGAATAAAACGGATTCGTGGTGTCTTTGATTACGTTTGAAAATTCTTCAAATTTGTTCTCGGGTATAATTATTTTCATAATAACACCTCCATCATCAGCAGCTTCCAATTCACTAATTATGACTTCATTGGGATCAATATCAACAAAATTTGCAATATCTCGCTTCAAAAATTGGGCAAATTGTGTAGGTAAAATATCATCTTTAACTAGATCTACCCATAGAAGTTGATTCGAAAATTTCAACTGAACTTGAACGGTACCCGCTAGAATTTAAGTTATTAAATGTCAATATCTAGGTTTGAAAATTATCAAACATAAATCATGCAAATACTTACGAAGAAGAGCTCCATACGAGGCTGCTTCATTAATGACAATCTCTGCAGGAATGTTGCTAGGAATTGTGACCGTGGCTGTTCCAGGAACTGGCGTATTCAAAGTGATATGTATTTTTGATGGAGGAATAAATTTGTCTATATTCTTTGGTTTTTGTTTGTCAGTTCCATTATCATTTGGTTCGGGATCTTGAGGTTCATTTGGGTTTTTACTGAATTTAGGATCTTTTGTGGGTTGGGGTGATGGGGTTTTACTCTTGGTTGGTGCTGGCTCAGAATTCGTTACACTTGGTTCTGATGTTTTGGGTTCGCTTTCTGGATTCTTTGGTTCAACGGCGGGATTTTTTGGAGCTTTAACATTCTTTGGTGGTTTTTCTTTGGGTGGAATCTTCGGAGCCGGAACCTTTGGTTCTTTACCATTTTCTTGTTTGGGAGGTTGCTTTTCATTTGGTTCCGGTTCCTTTGGATCTTTTCCATTGACCGGAACAAGATCTAAAGGATCCTTTGGTACGTCTTGTTCTGCCGGTTTTTCCTTAGGTACTGGTTCCTTTGGTTCTTCATTAGGTTTCTTGGGTTCCTTCGGTTCCTCTTGTTCAACCGGTTTTTCCTTAGGTACTGGTTCCTTTGGTTCTTCATTAGGTTTCTTGGGCTCTTTCGGTTCTTCTTGTTCAACCGGTTTTTCCTTAGGTACTGGTTCCTTTGGTTCTTCATTAGGTTTTTTAGGTTCTTTTGGTTCCTCTTGTTCAACCGGTTTTTCCTTAGGTACTGGTTCCTTTGGTTCCTGTGGTTCTACATTAGGTTTCTTGGGCTCTTTCGGTTCTTCTTGTTCAACCGGTTTTTCCTTAGGTACTGGTTCCTTTGGTTCCTTTGGTTCTTCATTAGGTTTCTTGGGCTCTTTCGGTTCTTCTTGTTCAACCGGTTTTTCCTTAGGCTCTGGTTCTTTTGGTTCTTGATTTTCCGGCTTTTTTTCCTTTTCCTCGGGTTCCTTTGGTTCTTTTGGCGCTTCTTTTTCATCCGGTTTTTCCTTAGGCTCTGGTTCTATTGGCTTTTCTTTTTCAGGCGGCTCTTTTTTATCGGGCTCCTGTTCTTTTGGCTCTTCTTTTTCAGCCGGCTTTTCCTTAGGCTCTGGTTCTTTATTTTCCGGCTTTTTTTCTTCAGGTTCCTTTTGTTCCGCTGGTTTCTTTTCATCATTCTTTGGTGGATCTTTATTTCCATCTTCCTGTCTAGGATATAAAATGGATCGTTTTATACTAATATTATTGGGTGAGTCCAGCACACCATTTAATGAATTCGAATGATGATTTTGACCTTTACTCAAATTCGATAACATGACCCAATTTATAACAATTAAAAGACATATTATTATTGGGACCCGTAATGGGTTTAATATGGATGATTTGATCATTTTTATGTATATATATCTCTCAAAAAAAAAAAGAAAAGACAAATGAAATCTCCTTCCTCTAAATTTATTTTTATATTTTGAACTTTTTTTTTTTATTTATACTCTAACTATTTTTTTTTTTTTGAAAATAAAATGTGGGAAATTCGATCACGAAATTAATTGCGTGCAAAGAATGTAGATAAATAATAGGACGGATGATTGATTATGTTGTTATTATTATTTTTTTAAATCGTGAAATTTAAAAAAAAAAAGAAAGGGGGGTGGGGGGGGAGGGGAGGGAAAGTAGTATATGTGCTGTGGATAAATAATCGATAGATTCGATAGGTGTCTAAAAAGTATTGAGGTGATGAATGAACAACGGTATTAAAGAAATGATTACTTTTTTTTCAAAATGATAATTTGGGAATTTATGTGATAAGGTGAATAATGTCGTTTGGGTAAGGAATGTAAGGAATGTGATGGATGTAAAAATTTTCAAGACGAGAGGGAATGCCGAGATGAATTTTTATCAGGACAATTGTTGACGTGAGAGATGATGTTAGAAAACATAAAGGAAAAAAAATTTTTTTTTTTTTTTCCTTTGTGAAAAAGAAAAAAAAAAAAACTGATAAAAAAAAAAAAACTCGAACGCTCAACAAATGATTTAAGTTTGCAAGGCTAGATAAACCCTGTACTTAAGGATATAAATAGAAAAAAATGAAAAAATAAAAAAAAGGAAAGTAAATGAAAGAAAAAAAAGAAGGTTAAGAGTAAAATAAATAAAAAAAACAATGGAACCCAAAAAAAAAAATAAATATTAAAATATTGGAATTCCACATTCGGATTTCATGTAACAACCAATTTAAAAAAATGGTCAAACTTAGAAAATAATCATATTTTTTTTAAATATGGGTACTTGACTATAGGAGTGTCATGACTTTATCGTAAGACATTGGTGTTACCTTATTGTTCGCAAACCAATTGTAAAAATTTTCTTGTAATTTATTTATAGGAACTATTAAGAAATTCTGATACATGATCATCAAAATTACTATGTAATTCCTCTGTAATTCATAAAAAAAAAATCCTTTTTTATTTTCCGCTGAAAATTTTTCGGAAAACAAACACTCGCATTATTATTTGCGGTTAGCATATTATGTAAGAGTTTAACTCGTCTTTTACCAACGATCAACCACGGCAGTTGCGTTACATGCGTGTTTTTTTGCGTCAACACAATTTTTAATCTATAAATGTGCGCGCTTCTCTTTCCTGTGGTACACGCATTTACGTTGCGCAACCAAACATTTCACACGCATACACCAAATTATGCGTTTCAAAGACAAATTGTTTATATCCGTAAATTTTGAGTTTGGATATAAAACACATTTATTTTGTAATTGTACATGCATAAGCATTTACCTCATTTAAAAAGGAAAAAAAAATTGTCTTTAATTTACGAGATGATTCGCTGATTGTAAAAAGGAAAAAAAAAAAAACTCTACAGTCATTTTACTTATTTCCTTTTCTATTCATCAAAAGGATTGTCATTGATTTATAGATCTTTGATAAGTTCATGTTTATATTTTTATATATATTTTTAATAAATTAAAAGATTTTCTTTTTAGAATTTTTTTTTACACGGTCCATCTAAAAAGACCACCATTTCTTACTCAAGATGAATTAGACCGACAATGACTTACCTGTTATAATAGTATTTACCTTTTAATTTTATTAAAAACAAACATAATAATAATGATTGACGAATAGATACTGCTCATTAATAAAAAAAAAAAAAAAAAAAAAATTATTTCCTTTTTTTACCTTAATAAATTTGGGGGAGAGATAAGTGGTGTTTTTTAGGAATCACGGGAATTTGGATCCATCCAATACGAAATGTGGAAGGGTATCACAAAATGATGAAATGATCACCCCGGACCAATTTTCTTTATTGGGTTTTTTTTTTTATTGCGCCGCCGTCAGATTTTGCAAGTGTTTGTTTTTAAGGGAAACTATTTTTTTTATACCATGAAGTCCCTCGAATTGCTAAAATTAGCTTAACGTTTCATTTTATTTCCGATATTTTTGACCTTGCTGGGCTAATATCTTTTCTAAGAAATCATCCCGAGATGGATTTGCTTGATTTACGATCAGTGAAGATCACGGCGGAAAACAAATGAAAACCCCTAGTAAGATCGACGTCTTTTTAAAATGTTACTTTTCAATTAATAAAAAATTTCCTCAAGATACTGTATTCTGGGCTATTTCTAACCAAATTTTAGAATTTTAAAAAACTTTTCGACCAACAATATAAAAGATTTATTAATATCATTTCCTGTGTACATAATACTAACTATGATCCTGCTCGTATTGTTAAAATCGAAAAAATGATAGACCATAAAGCAATCAAGACAGCTTTCCAGACGGGTGTGTCGGGTAATAGAATTCGTTTCGACTGTAAGACGCTTGTACAATGGGTATCAAAATAGATGTAAAGGGCGTAAGCGGGGAATGTAACGCAATAACTTAGATTGAAGACAACATATCTATAAAATGAAAAAAAATATATATATATATATATTATATATACAGTATCTTAAATTAATACGTATTAAAAAAAAAATTGTCATGAACACAAATTTTTAAAGAAAAAGGAAAAGAAACTTTACAATCTTCCATCAACCGGTGAGATTGAGGGGAGGTCATTTCCCAATATATGAGTAAAAGAAGCGAAAATTAACAATAAAATTTGATTTGGATGTCGAATAACTTTTGGAGAGACGCTTGGTTCTTCATCAGCCGGTGAAATATCATCCTCATTGGTCAGGGGAAGTTGAGCTGATGATTGTTCTTTAACATACTCTCGTGTGGCAAAGTAGATACGAACAAATACGATAAATAACGCATAATCCGAACAAAGACCTATATATATAACGTTAATTTGATTGATTTTTCAAATCAACGAAAACAAAAAATAAAAAAAAAGGTTCGTCCCAACATTTACCCTGTGCTTTGAACCACATTGCATCAAAAGGCCAAGGTAAAACAATATTCAACACATTTACAAACATTATGTAAAAAGCAACAAATGCATAAAAAAAGCTTGAAGTGATTTTTCCTCCTTGAGCTAATAATAACAAAATACAAACTTCCCAAACATTATGCAAAGTACCGAAAGTTGACCATAGCTTTCCTGAATCAAAAAAGAATAAGGCAACCCCGCTCACGGAAGTGAACGAAATATAATAAGCTATGGTCTTATTAAACCAAATAGCTGGAATTCTACTTCCATTTTCTTGATAGATATATGTAATAAATTTTTTTGGTAAATCCCGATGTGAGACCCATTGTAATGAGTAATAACCCGATAAAATTAAGGAAATCATTAAAAAGAAAATCGAAGTATCATAGCTTTGTTGATCAAAATCTAAAAGTCGGTAAGTGAAATTTCCCATTTTTTATGAGACTAAATATTATAAAAGGAGAAAAACAATAAGAGAAAAAAAAAAATTTAGTACAAACGATCGAGGACTGGATGCCATGTTGGATAACCCGTAGAACGAGAAGGCTCGGCGTCTGGGACGTTAAGATCAATTAACGTGAAAGATAAAAGTAAAAGACTTAACAACACAACAGAAAAGGTTATAGCAGCACAACCACGACAAGACATTTTTAATAACTTGGTTTAAACAGGAAAGATTTGTCAACATTTTATACACAAATTAATTAGATCAAATTATCGTACAAGACAAAGATGGTGCATTATCAACAATAACAATCTAAAAAATCATAAAAATAAGGTTTAATTAATTATATCTGCTTGATTCAGTTAATACAATGATTTACAATGATTTACAATCCATTTGTCAAATTGAATCATATGATAAGACACGAGACCAAAATAATTGACATATTTCATACCAAGTACTGTACTTGATTTTAAAATCGCTCTCATATTTGTGATGCCTCGATTAATAACATTCGCCGAAAAAATAAGACACATGATTCGAAAATCCTCATAACTTTATAAAAAAAATTCTTTTACACATACTTTTGGTTTCAATATAGGGAAAGGTTGTGATGAGTTGAATACGTGAAAATTACAACAAATGATCTATTAGCTAAGATATAGATGGGTGGATGTAAAATTATTTTGTACTGTGATATTTGTCATTAATTACGCAATTAAATTTTCTTAATTCTGACTAAAATTTTCTTAATTTTGGCCAAATTTGTATTCCGGCCTAAATCTGATTTAAAAATAGAAATATGCAGGTCAAACTTAGCACTATATTATGCAATATAATACTTTAAATATAATATTTTACAAGAGCTTTAAACAATTTTTACATAACTTTTATTATTTAAAAAGGATCTTTTAACAAAAATAATTGTATTCTTTGTCTTTAATTTACTATAATAAAAATAAATTCAAAAACTAGTGAAATTAATGATTTTTTTAATATATATAAAATATGACTAATTTACTTAATAAAGTTTATAAATATAAAGCAAAAGAATTACTGATTTTAAATTAGAAAATTAGTTTTATATTAATTATAATAAGTAAAAAAATAAAAGTAATAAAAGTATTATAAACAAACAGTGCACATTTGATTTCATATGCATTAATAAATATAATAAATAGATTAATTTAAAGAACTAAAAATTAAAAGATTTGTATAATTAATTATATAAGATAACTTAATAATAATGCAATATGTGAAATTAAAGAGTTAAAATTTTTGAAAATATTTTATATTTAATCAAAAATGTCTTCATTAATAAGATATCAAAACAATAAAACAAAATATTTATATATAGTTATTTACATCAAAAATTATGAATAAAATTTTTATTTTTAGTTTTAAAAATTTTTGTTAGATATTAAACAATTATATTTTACATAAAAAATTAATAAAAAATTTATCATAATTATAAAATTATAAAAAAAATTATGTAATTATTATAAAATATATAATATTTATTTATATGAGTTGATTACTAGAAAAATCAGGTTTTGGGAATTTTTTAATAAAATTAAGATTTTTATTGCATTTAATTATTAAATTAAAATGCATTAAGCTTTTAATTTTAATCAAAAATTTCTCAGAACCTGATTTTCTAGAAATTCTTCCATATGTAAAATCAGAAAAAGAAAATTAATATTGTATTGAAAATTTTATTATAATATTAATTATATAATTAATAAATATAAGATTATTTATTTTAGTTTTTTTAATAATAATTTATTAAAATTAAATATTTTAATATAGTATTATAATAAAAATAATATTTTAATAAAATAGCTTAAACTTAGAATATTTAAAAATATTATATTTTATAATATCTTATTTAAAGATATATTCTATCTCAATTACAATATTATATTTAATAATAATTATAGAATAATTATTTAATTATATCTCATTATTTATTTTTTCTAAAAATAAAATTAATACTAATTTATTAAAATTTAATAATATTAATATTATATAACTTATTTGATATTAAAGTTTTATTAAAATTATATCAAATAAAATTAAAAAATTTATATTTATAATTAAATCTTTTAAAAATTGCAAATAATTCTTATAATAAAATAAGTATTAAAAAATCTAACTCATTAAAAAAATATTATCATCAATTATATGAATTATTAAATAATATATTTAGATTTTTATTTAAAAAATTTTATAAATCAAAAAAAAATAATAATAATAATTATAATTATTAATTAATTAATAATAATAAAATTCATTTTATTTATTTTATAATTATTTGAATTAAGTTTAAAGATATAAAAATATAATTTATTAATTACTTTAAAATTTTAATTGCTTTCAAATTTTTATAATTTTTTAATATTAATTAATAAAATAAAAATTATTAAAATTTTTAAATTAAAATTAATTAATTCTAAATTAAGTATTTATTATATTTAGAATATATATATTATTGTATATATAATTTTATAAAATTATTTATTTATAAAAATATAATTTTATGCTACATTATATTCTATTAATTTAAATTTAATTTAAAATGATAAAATTTTATAAAATAAATATATAAAACTTTTGATAAAATTTAAAGATAAAAAAAAATTTTATCAACTTTCAATTTTTAAATAATTATTTATCATAAATTCAATATTTTTTTAAATATAATACTAAATTATTAATAATAAAATAATTAATATTTTAATAATAGATTATATTATTTTTTAATATTTATAAAATTTTTAATAATAAAAAATAATTTAAATAAGAATATAAATTTAAATTTTACATATAATTATTATATTTAATATAATTTACTTGAAAAATATCATAATTTCATATGTAAATTATTTTTAATATTTAAAGTTAATCTTTTATTATTTATTTAACAAGTTATTATAATATTAGATTTTTATAATAATAGGCTAATAAGATATTAGGATAACATAATATTATATTAATAAAATAATAAAATAATAAAATAGCATAATATCAGACTAGTAGGATAATAAAATAGCAAAATATTATAAGTCTTAAATAATAAAGTAATTTATTATAATTTATAATATAATTGAATTTATTGTAAAAATGTTAAATCTATAATATTTAAAATCTACTAGATTAAATTAAAGTTTTTTATTTTAAAATCATTAATCAGATAAAAAAAATAATATTAATGCTATTATTTAATTAGTTAAAAAGTAAGGTTAAAATTATTAAAACTATTAAATTAAAATAAATTTAAATAAATAATTTATAAGATAAAAAATGTTATTTCTATTATTTTTTATAAAATTTATTAAAATTTAATTAAATTACAATAATTTTTTATTAAAACATTTTAAATAATTAAATATATTAAATTAAAATATAAATCAAAAATTTTAATTTAATTAAATATTAATAGATTTATTAGAATTATTTTTAAAAAATAATTTTTTAATTTTATAAAAAAATATTATAAAATGTAAAAAAAAAATAAATATTATAATACAATCATATATAGAATACTATTAAATCAAGTATAATTCTAATTGATAACTATTAAAAAATCATAATAAATTAGTATATATATATAAGACATAGTTAATAAGTTATATCTAATTTTAAACTAATTGATAACTATTATGTTAATGTTTCTTTATAAATAATCATATTGATTATATAAACTTAACAAATTTGATCAATTTATTAAGTAATTAGCAATCAAAAAAAGTATGTCAATTAGAGTGATAATAATCATATTTGTAATATTATAATATATAAAAGTATTTATTTAATAAAACTATTATCATATATTTATTTTCTTACTGAAAATTATACAAAAATAAAATAACAATAAATATTATAAATCAATATAATTGAATTCCTACTTATCATAAAAATCATTTTTTATAGTTCTATATTACAAATTTTTATATTATTATTATCAATTTGAAAATAGAATCTTATTTGATAATTTTTTAACTAGTAAAAACTATTTAATATAAGTTAAATAATACATCTATTTTATATTAAATAATTAGATTTTATATTTGAAGAAGAAATATAGCAAACTTATATAATACATTTAGCAATATATATAGTATAATTTTTTTATATACAGTATATAATATTAAGAATTATAAAATATGACTATTTGTTATGAAAAAGAATATATATATAATTTTTTATAATATACATATCATATACAGTCACACCTCGATATAACGAAGTTGCTGATCCAGCCGATCAGGACTTCGTTATAAGAATCTTCGTTAACG